TATATGGTAGATTGAATTGTATGGTAGCAATTTTTATATAGATTTCGTTTTAAACCTACTCATAATTTTCACATGTACGATACAAGTTGATTTTACACATATACGACAAAAAAATTCTTTTATTGATACGACTTTTAAATACATGGAATGCTGATCATTTGACTGTTAAGATACGATGCAACAAACAAATGTTTGTTGATTCTTCACTGTTATCTTATTTTTTAATGCCTGGAAAACTAAATACAATTGATGGAAGCAACTATTCTTTGTTTTTATCTATCACATAATACAGATGGTAGACTTCTCATGAATAAAAATAAAACATCAGGTAATATTTTTTATTATCAAACGTTATTTTAATAATCGACACGATGAAAAGCATTCTAACAAATATTTTCTTGTCTGTTTTTCTTTTTCCATTATATCTTCATGCAATTCAAGTAAGTATAAATAATCTTAAACCACGTTTGGATGTTAATGGTGTAATTATTGATGCACATGATGGTAGTATTCAACAATTTGAAAAAAATGGTCTTTATTACATGCATGCAATGCAATATGGTCTTTGTGAAGAACCACCAAATTATGGATGTGATGGAGTAAGTTACGATATACTCAAGAAGAACTTGCATTTGATTTAGTTTTAGGCTGGAATGCCAAGTAAATGTGGTTTTCAAATGGATCATAATATTAGTATCTGGTCTTCGCCTAATCTAACGTCTGGATCATGGTCATATGTAGGTAATTCAATTAATGTAACTGATCGACCAGCAGGTATTTTTCTTTTTGATTTAATATTTCTTGACAATATGATTATGGTTATTGTAGGTGTTGTTTTTCGGCCACACCTTGTATATAATCCAAAAACTAAATTATATGTTCTATTTTGGAATTATATGAGATGGAATCAGCCTAGTTTATATGCAGTTGGTATAGCTGAAACACCAAAGTAAATGATTTTGTTTGTATGTATAATTCTTTCTTAAATTCCTAATGTATAGTGGACCATTTAAATTAGTTAATCCTGCTCTCAATGTATCTCGAGGTGCTAGTGGAGGTAAGTATTGACTGTGTTTTTTATGGATTAAATTTCTTTATTGAATATTTTAGGTGATTTTGATGTTTTTGTTGATGATGATGGAACTGGTTATATAGTTTATTCTCAAAATTATTATATGAGTATTGAACAATTAACACCTGATTATTATTATTCAACAGGAAAATCCTATATGTTTGATGAATATTTTGTTGAAGCACCCATATTTCTAAAGAAAAATAATATTTATTATGTTTTATTCGGTTGGTGCTGTTGTTATTGTATGCAAGGCAGTGGAGTTTTAGTTCATACATCTAATAATCCAATGGGACCGTATACACTTCAAGTATCAAGATTTTTTGTTTGTTTGTAAAAATAATAACAAAATCTGATTGATTTATAGACTGATGGTGATCTTGCTTGTGTTGCAAAAAGTAATACTATATCAACATCATCCAATGCTTTACCAACACCTAATCAAGGTTGTGAATTTCATAATATAAACACAACATCAATAGCTCGATCTCAGCAAAATTATATTATTAAAGTTACGAATTCAAGTGGTTATACAACATATGTCTGGACAGGAGATAGGTAATAGTTATGGATTTAAGAATCATTCTTTTTTTTTCTTATATAAGATGGCAACAAGCACCCGATGGAATTAAAGGTCATGAACCACAGTTTTGGACTCCATTAACATTTGATGAAAACGGAAAAATTGGCAAAATGAACTGGATTGATGAATTTACTTTAGATGTATGAACTTTTGTAAAATTATCTATTCTTTTAGTTATAGAAAATATTATTTTAATAAATAGATTGAAAGAAACGCTTGAAGAATTGATTTTTCTTGTATTTAAAATTTCAAAAATTATTATTTGCTAGTTTATTTAAAAAATAAAAATAAAAATATAATCTTATATCAACTGTTTCATTTATACTAAAAAAATAGTAATACAATCAACTATATTGATTAAATTTCCTATTAGTAGCCAAAACGTTATGCAGGACTAGTTAATAACTGTTCGTTGGTATCTTTGTATGTATTTAATAATTGTTTTGCAATTGGCGCCCATTTTTGTGCTGTAGAATGTGGTAATTGTAACCAAGTACCTAAACCTCGTAACAATATTCCAACTCTTGCTGCCATTAAATAACCTTCGGGTACTTTTATAACTTCATCTTTTCTTGATAGTTCTTCAAAGAATAACTGTGCATTTTTACCTTCACATGTTTCAGGATCATCACGATCAAATCCAAGACGAGCTAATTTTTCTATAACATATGGATTCATATGACGTGTAACTACACCCATAGAAATGTACTGTTGAACAATTTCTTCTTTTGTTCCCTCTGCTAGTAAAACAATTAATTTAGCTAATTTAAGACGATGAGATAACGAAAGTTCTTGTACTTGACCAAAATCAATTAAACCTTTAAAAGAAAAACAAACTCGATTTATTTTTTCTTGAATATATTTTCTTACCAATTTTTCCATTTTTTAATAGAAAAATATTTCCCGGATGTGGATCAGCATTAAATATTCCATCAAGTAATATTTCTTGTGCATGAACTTCGTTAAGTAAATCAATAATTTCATGTGGATTTATAAAAACACGTTCTTCGTTATATTCTAATGGGAAACGTTTTAACAATGGTACAATAGAATGATTATATATATAAATATATACATTTTTTAAACGATTCACTGTACGTATTAACGATGCATACATATTCACAATAAAAGCGGATGGTGTATATCGTTTTTTTGCTTCACGATGAAGTTCACCGGATAGATATTTTGCCATCATTTCTTGTTCAAATTCTTCTAGAGTTTTTCCTTGTTCAGCTGCCATTCTTGCTTGTTCAATTTTTAGTGCATCAATTAATTTCGTTCCATCTAATTTTTCCATAACTATAACAAATTCTGTTGCCATACCGGGTGTAGGTCGAGGAATAATAATATTAGGAAAACGTGGCATTATATTACGACCTAGAGAGACATAAATTAGTGAATTTTTCTTTACAAATATTGAAAATATACTTACCAATAATATCTAATGCTCTTGCTTCTCTTCTAAAATCGAATTCAATTTGAAATGCTTTTTCAAATTCATCAAACAATGGTGCATGTTCAGGTTGTGCTAATCGAACAAATTTTTTTAAAGTCGAAAAATCTAATCCAAATAATCGTTGTACTTCTGGATATTGTATTTTAATAATAACTGCTTTATTGGATCCTTTTAAACGAGCTTCATGTGCTTGTCCAATAGTTGCAGCACCTACAGCTTTTGGATTAAATTCCGAGAAAATTTCTTCTAATGGTTTATTGAATGCTTGTTCAATCATTTCTCTAGCATATTCACCGGGTTGAGCAGGTACACCATCCTATTTTTTAACAAAATAATAAATAAAATTATTAAAGACTTTTGTAATTTTTTCTTACTTGTAATTGAGCAAATTTTTTTAAATAAGGTTTAGGTATGATATCAGGACGAGTTGAAGCTATTTGTCCTAATTTAATATAAACACCACGTTGATGAAGAATAACATTTAATACATAATCACAATATTTATTATGTAATTTATTCCAAATTTCATCTTCTTCTTCAGGAGATTTTGCGGGAAATAATTTAAAATAAAGTTGTTGATAACGATAATGAAGATAGACTGGTATCATACGAGACCAAAAATAACTTGTTCGACGAATCTTTTCTATTTCTGGACCAGATTCATAGATTGTATAGGAAATAAAACCAGTACCGGTAAGAAGTGTTGTACCGACGGCAAATTTAATTAAACGACGTGGTTGAATAAAAGATCTGACAGATAAGGATCGATGAAGATGAACAAGTGGTAATCTAGGACGGCTCAATACTCGACAAAGTAACATTTTTGAATAGAATACAGATATATTGTGGTTACATCAGCACACTAATGATCAGTTGATGATTCATGCAATGAATAGAGCGACATCATATAACTGGATTGGCTATCTGAATCAACTAGTAACTTAACATTATTGATTCAATTTTAATTTCTTCTAACAATACTGTGCGATTTATTTTGTTTATATACATATATTGTAATTATTTACGATAGATAAAATCATATAATACTGTTTTAATAATGAACTTGATTAATTTTAGTAGGTTTTCATACACTAATTCAAATGATTTAAAATTCTCAATAAATTCATTGCTGATCCTTTGAATCTATTTAAAATATACAATCGATTCAAGAAAATATCAGCATTATCGTTTTTGATAGAGCAGACAATACAATTAGAAATGGCATGAACGAAGTTTATTTCATTAACATAAATATTTTTCATGAATTATTGAAGTCAAATGTAATTATAATTACTAATACTTAGATATTCTCAACTAAAGAATATTTTATTCAATATATTTACTAACATTTAAAATTTTTGATTTATACTATAACAGTGAAATGCTTTGCATGTACAAGAAGAAAACTGCTAGTTATGGATCTCTTTTTTCAAATAACAATTCTACGTATATTCAAATATTTCATTGATATTTACTCTAAGACTATGAAGAATAAAGTCATACACTTGAATAACTGAAGATTATCTCGTCATGTTATTTTTAGATAGGTGTAATCTAGAATAAACAAAATATGATAGTACATCGTGATACAATTCTTCGTGTAAGCATAATATGCATACATATATGAAAATATATTGAATAAAATTTGTCTTCTATCTTAGATTATTGTTTTTGTTCATTTTGTTTTTGTAAGCATGTAAGTCATTTAATTTTAATTGAATAAATTTGCTTCTATTTCATCTAAATTCTATAACTAGGGTATTACTGGCTGATTGGTTGCCTAAATCATATCATATTAATCAAGTTACTATTATAGCACTTGGTGTTTGGGGTATAATACAATATGAAAGTGTGATTCAAGTTGAACTTGTCTGTTTTAAAACTTTCGATTATATACGTTTTACTATTCTCGCTAGATTTTTAGTTAATGTTAATTAAACTTATTTCGATTTTGGTTGATTCAATTGCTATTGGAATGTATTTTCAAATTGGAAAACATGGTATGTTGATGCCATTTTTTTATTTTATTATATTCTATTGATTAATAGCCTATGCTACACAACATCATACCACTTATTTTACTATTAGTGCTTTGTAAGTTCATTTTCTACAATGATTTTTCAAATTTAAAATTGTATTTAAATTTTCTTAGTTTTGCTATATTTCTTTTGGTACTCAAACCAGTAATGCTTTTATTAATAAGTCATGTTCGACAAGAACGTCTAAATAATGCAGTATTTGATTCATGGAGTAAGATAAATTATAATATATATATTCAACATTATCTTCTTTATTTTATATAATAGCACCAACATCAGGATATGCATCAGTCGGTGGAAGATAATTCTTTATTTATCAGTACTTTCTCGTTTTAATAATCTTTTTTCCACAAGATTCTCGCGATATTTGTATTTTCAGTTTTTTTTTAGCATCAATATATCTCATTTAATGATATTAGCCTTATATACATACTATCGTCAATCCTATTGATCTTCTTTCATATGTTATTTTCCTCGCAGTGATAGTTAACTGATATTTATTAAGGTATTTTTTACGTTCTCCTTGTTGCTGTTGGTTCTTTTCTTTTGTATATTTTTTATAATAATAATAATTATTCTTATCGTGATTTACATGTTTTATTTGAATCTTAAATAAAACATTACTGTTCATTATTCGGATATAAAGCCTAGCAATATAGAATAGGATGTTTATTATCAGTTTTCTCATATTTTAGTAGGCATTAATGTCTGTCTAGTTGTTGTATCGATTTGCTTGGTAGATAGATGAAGACTGTCAATTTGGTGCAGAAGTTGAATAACAGTAAACACAAAACAAAGATTAGATTGTTTCTTCTCATGTAACTGGTAGGATATCAGTGGCCCTGTTATCCTTATCTCCATACATATAGATACTAATCAGTTTAGGTGAAAAGAAAATCTTTTAGTACAGTATTTGTTAGTATAAATAATGGTTAAAACTTGATTAAGAATATATAACTACATAAATCTTATATGTTGTTATTTTGATTTTATTGATGAAATAACCTTCTCATTTAGTGATGATTATTTTTGCAAAAATATTTTTAATTAAAATTTTCTTTTTCAGGCTGTTTTTGAAATTACTGTCGTGACATTGACATTTGATAAAAAACGATGGGGTTAAAAAGAACATCTAATAAAAAGAAAAGTATTTATCAAATCTGAATGATGTCAAATATGAAAATGAAAATACATTATCGGTATCTTATTAAGGTGTTAATATAATTCATAATCAATATTACCTGTTGAAAGTTTTTCATTTTTACTTTTTTCATCCAAAGTATCAATACCTTTTTATTTTAGTCCATACAGAAGTAATCTTTTCTAGAATACGATTCTACAACGAGTACTAGACTCACAGAAATTTAGAATAATATGAAATTTTATATGTCATTTGAATTAAACTTTATGACATAGTAGATGTAATTTTCGATTAAGCTTTCATATTATATCTTGCAGCCGCAAAACTTTTGGTTTTAATATAAAAAAAAATCGTCCACCACAAAAATTTCTGGGATATATATGAACAAACATGAATAGAATAAGTTCAGTAGTGTATACAGTGAATACAAGACATTGTTAAATTCGCTATGACATCGAAAATACTAGTTTTTCACATAATTAAAAATTTTTGCTCGTTTTACTTTTCTATATTAAAGCCGAAAGTTTTGCGGGTGTACAATATAATATGAAAACTTAATTAACAAGTACACTCTCCATGGACATAAAGTTTAATTCAAATAAGATATTCTCTTGATAGTCTCAGAATTTTTTGCGTCTACTGTAGATTATTATCAGTTTTTAAAAATCCATCGAAAAAAACAGATCGACTTTAAAATGAATTGTATTTATTTAAACTCGTATTCTCAAATTATGCACTTTATAAATGATTATTAACTTTTTCTTTTTGTAATAAATTAATTTATCAAAATCGTAAGAGAAAGTATTGAAGAAAAAAAATTGTTTAAAATTAAGAAAAAATCACTGTTATATCGATCATGTTTCATTTGATTGCTTCAATCTTTGTTGTTGCATTATTATTGCTGGTTGAATACGTCGATTTTGTCGCAATGATATCGATAACAGTTTCTGTAGTTCAGAATTTAAAAATACAAGTGCTATTGATAAAATCAATAAAGATACGGAATGTATTAACCATTGAATATGATATATTTGTGCAGCTAAATAATTTGTAACTATATAATACATCCATAGAGCAATTGTAGGAGAAGATAAAATAGCAAGTATTGTAACTAAAATTATGATACGACGAAGAACCACAACATCTCTTTGATATGATCGTTCACGATTTTGTTGCATTAATGTACTAGTTCGATGTTTAATATAAAACATGATGTAGCAATAGATTAATCCAATACTACTCATAGGAATAAAAAATAGAATTGTAGATACACTCATTACTGCTTTAAAATTAGTAAAAGGTAATTGACATTGATATAAATTTGATGTATATGTATAATATTGTAAAACTAATGGGTATATTAATAGGAGAAAAACGATAATCCACTGAAGAATAACAATTTGTAATGCAAATTGAAAACTCTGTAATCGTTTATTTTTATAAAAAACAATACTAAATAAACGAAAACATGCTTTTAGTAAACATGAAAAATACAATGAACCAGTTCCAACATCAAGAAGATATATACGTCCATAACACCACCAATTATTAACAACAGTATTTTCATGTAAAAGACCATAGAGATTATATGCATACATATCAAGCAAAGTCAAACAACTGAGTATAATAGCTAAATATGTATTACAAATAAGAATACTTGAAGTATTTATTGGATATTGACGACGATGATAGAACATCAAGGAAAGTATTCCAATCGATGTTATACTTCCAATAGATACTAATATTAAAATGATGATATCCATGATGAGATAAACATTGGTAGTCATGTTGTTTGGCACTGTGTAACAGAAACTAAGAATAAATGGTGCACTGATTTATAAAATAAATTTCTTTTCAAACGTTTTCTCTTGTGCGTAAATAATGTGCTGTATTAGATAGACATCAGAAGCAACAAAAGTAATTTTTTTTCTGATTTTGATTCACATGAATATTCTCATTTACTTATGCCATAAGCAGAAATTATAATAGTGTTGCATGTTTCTTATAGAATTTGCACTATGGCGTATGTGAAAATTTAGAAACTACGTAGGATATTATTTTATACGTAACTAAGGCTATATAAAAATATGTCTGCGCCATTGAACAACTATTAAATCTTTGAGTTCCGGCAGTATAATGCACGTCCTGATTCTGTTATATGATAAAGATGCCTCTAGTATATTTTTGAATTGTTTAAAATATCTTTTTTTCTTACTTTTCTGCTTGTCAGTATGACATATCTATGTTATCTGTTTTTCTTCGTTCTATATGAGGATCCATATTTTCTTCTACACTGACATATTTCAATGCAATTACTTTATTTCCATCTTTCAAATATGATACTACTTTCTATCTGATTTTCAGTTTGAAATAATTAGAAGAGTTTTGACAAAGAATGACTACTATTGGAAGACTATCTACAAGAGATTCTTTCACTCATCTGGTCGTTTGATATTTTTGTTCATTTATTTCACAATATCCGACGTGATTCATGATATGTTTAGCTCTAATTGTAATGCACCTCTATGTATTGTTGATTGCTTTAAGGACTATACCATACAAAAATAAAGATCATGTTATGAGAGTTTCAAAATTTTACAAAAAACAACTCGAGATTCAAAGGGTTAAATTACAGTTTCGATCAATTTATGAATCTATCGAATTGAAATATCTATTATCAGTACAAATTTGTATATCATATATTTCGTGTACATTTAAAAATTTATACAATATAGATCAGAAGATTGTAATTAACAAGAATGGTGTATAGATGTAGTCAAACCTATTATTCAACTTGTTTAAAAATATAAACGACTCTATAGATCGTTAATCTGAATAAAATAATATATATCGTTTTTCTATGTTTGAAATTATTGCATATATACTCAGTTGAAATTTTATTCAGAATAGTAGATATCTTTCATTCAACAATTTTTGTTGTATCGATGAAACAGAAGCAAAAAATATTTTTTTATTTTGTTCGATCATACTGGTGAATCATTCGAATAAGCTCTTTACTATGTTAATATTGACATTAATATTTATCTTCCTTCTCTCTTGTGAATACAGCAGCTACGAAAAAAATTCAGGTTATAATTTCAAACAGAAAAATATGACTACGTTCATACAATTATTCTACAATTTTATGTTCAATAATAAACCATATATGTACTATTCATGTTTTTTACACCATTTATTCAGTAAATATAATAAATACATCAATAAAAAATTTTATATAGTCTCTCTTAAAATAAAACCGCTAATAACACTGTATGTGGGTAATAAAAAAGAATTAATCATTTTTATACGCCATTTATATATATATATACATCAGTTCTGTTCGAAGTATTGTTTTACTGCGTTATCAAATACCATGTTGACAAAAATATTTAACCTTGTGTGCAATAGTTTTGCGTTCTTCCTCACACATAAATGTTATCTTTTTTTTAACAACATATTTCACTTATGTAAAAAAAATAGTCGTCAACGTGATATCAATATATTATAAAGATGCGATTGTTGATTATTTTTTTGTTGTTCACTGTTGTTCGAGCACAACAACAATATCCATGTTCATGTTCATGTTGTAATGGTGCATCATGTATTCCTAATGTGTTATCTACAGTATATGCACTATCTTGTACAACAGAAGCATGTCTCGTACAATGTCGGGCTTCATATCCTACAATATGTCAAGCAACTCCTCCTTATGGTCAAATTATAGCACAATGTACGTCAAGTATTGCTCAACAATATAGTTGTCAATGCAATTGCTGCAACACCGGTTCTGCTTCTTGTTCACCTTCTTATGTCGGTACCAGTGTTGCATATACATGTGCATCAGGTTCATGTAGTATTTCATGTGCCCAGCAATATCCAAGTCAATGTATATCTAATCAAAATGGACAAACGCAAGGTCTATGTATGGGTCCTATAACTACTACAACAACAACAACAACTGTTGGTCCTTGGTTAGGTAATACTTGTTCATGTATGTGTTGCCAGAGCGGTTCTGGCTGTACACCAACATATGTTGGTATAACATCCGCATCTCAATGTTTATCAACAGCTTGTAATCAAGCGTGTCAAATTCGATACCCATCAGTATGTCCATCGTTATATATTCTCGGTCAAACAATTGGTACATGTACAAGTAGTACTACGAGTGGAACTACACAATGTGCATGTAATTGTTGTGGAACAACTGGATGTTTTAATTATACTATACGAACAAATGAAGGTTGTACAGCATGCAATTCATTGTGTCAATCACAATCACAATCACAATGTCCAAATACTTTTCAAGTAACTCACACATGCTCTCTTAATAATGCAAAGACTTTTCATCCTTGGATAATTTTTATATTATCAATTATTTTTTTTAATTTTTTTGTTATAACTGATTTTATATAATGTATTTTTATTTTACATTTATATTCAAATAGAAAATACATCATTTTTTCAGATTTTAATTAATAAACGAAAAATATATTGTTTAATTGCAAAGGATGAATATTAAACGAAAAGTTGTATTACATAGATGTTGTATAATAGAATAGCAAGTGAACAATGACTAATTTTTATAAAACTTACGATAGTATTTTTATTATAGTAAAATTATCTTCTTAAGTTAAATAATCAAACATGAGTAAATAAATTCTAACGTAATAAATTTAAATACAAAAAATAGTATCAATATATTTGAAGATATGAAAAAAATAAATCAAATTTAATATTTAAATAATTTAATCGAATCCGTTGATGAACGCCTCCGTTCTTTTTGTTTATCTATTGTTTTTGATAAAATACTATCTTTTGTTTTGCATGTATCTGAAATTGAATCTTTTATACTAGTAAATGATGATCGTTGTTCTTGTATTTTATCATGTTTTTTGATAGATTTTGTATTAATACAATGACTAAAATACATCAAAATGAAATAACTCACGCCAATACATAACGTAATCAATAATAAATATATAATTAGAGAGATAAAAAACACATTGCGATTAGATATATTGTGTTTTTTAGTAGTATTTATAACTGATACATGAGTATGATCTGTTGTAGTCGGCAAGTAGGTAGTTATATTTTCTAATATTCGTGTTTTTTCAATATCACTGAGTATAGATACATTGAAAATGAATGCTGTTGTCTGTGTATATTGAATAATTTCAGTTGTTAATATAATTTCATCAGAAGGTTCTGCTTGATCCACAAAATGTTCTCTGTTTTGCCGTCCGCGAGAAATAAAATTTCGTTTCCTGTTGAAGATTTTGTGAACCATATGACTTGAAAGTTTAATAAAGATATATTTATAGAATAGAAATTCAATGATTATTACATAATAATAATGAAAATAAATCGATTGAATTATTATTATTTTAATTGTGCTAGGCAACAAAAATTATTTCGACTTTTTTTATATTCGAATTTCAACTTATTTACATTCATCATGTACAAAGCAATTTAAATCGCAGATTTTTATAGTTGTGTTATTGCATAACTTTATTTCAACGAGTATACAATACTTATCCAATGATGTAAATTTTTGATTATTTATTTGTTTCTATATTATTATCTTGCAGCATTCTTCTCTTTTTATGAGATAAATTTTTTCAAGTACTACTTATTGTTTGTAATTGAAAATATATTTAGATGTGCAAGGTAGGTAAGACTTAGAGGCCTGCACGGAGTCATTTTCGGAGTTGCCGTCGTAGTCAGATAAATTTTAGGTTAATAATTCAGCTTTAATGTTAAAGTATATTGAAGTTCATAGATTTATCGCCCGACATTTTCTCTACAAGATGATTTATTTTGAAGGATCGGCAGACGTCTTAGCGAGCCTCCCAAAGCAAAATAAAATACAGAAAAAGTCGGAGTCGAAAATGACTCCAACTTTTCTTTTGTGTTGGCGAGGTTCAACAAAGTATCTACCTATCCTTCGAAATACATCATTTCGTAGAGAAAATGTCGGGCAACAAAACTACGAAATTTATTTGGCTCCGACGGCGACTCCGAAAATGACTCTGTGCAGGTCTCTATTAAGACTCTATCTTTTCAATATGAGTGAACCATAAAGATTTACGAAAAATTTATTACTGGATGTTTCTCATACTACATAGTATTCGCTAAAAATTCAATTTTATTAAATAATCATTTTTCAAACGATCTCTTTTTTTTAGTTTCTGAACATCTGCATCAAATTTATCATTCGTTTTCTAATTGTGAATAGGGCATTTAATTTGTCTTGCAAAAATAACGCAATAAGACGATTTTATTTTTATCGTATTTTGATATAAATCTATTTTAATTATCTATGATTTAATAAAATCAAATCATTTATTCTACGACAGTTAAAAACGACTTAATTCAGTACATTTTTGTTGACAATATAATATATAGATATCTTAATTATTCTGCTGACGTCAATTCTGACGGTTATATTTAATATCTATCACGCAAATCTCTTAGATAATATTCTTATTATTAATAATTATTAGATAAAATAAGATTTTTATTTATATAATAATACAAAATGCACTTTTTAAAATTGATGGTGATGGTTGATTTTTTTTCTCAATATTCATTGATGATGATGATGACGATGGAAATTTTGATTCATTACTTGGACTAGTTACTAATAGTTTATGTGTATTTATTGCTGCCTGATTAATATTCGACTCTTCATTTGTATTTAATGGTACTGAATGAATAATATCTTTTAATTCAAAAATTTCATTTTGAATATTTTTAACATCAGCATGTTCGGAACCATAATTTGATTGTAGGATATTTAAACTTTGATGAAAATAATGTAAAGCTTCATTTGACTTATTCATAGCACGATAAAGTCGTGCTAAACCTCGTAATGTATACGCAATATCATTATGATTTGATGATAAAGTTGATCGACGAATATTCAGTAGTTTCATTTGACAAATTAATGCACGATCAAACATTCGACATTTCCAATAGAAATTTGTCATTGGTGAAAGACATGTTTGTAATATTTCTTCATTTTTTTTATTTTCAAGAATTGTTAATGCTTGTTGATAATGTTGATCAGCTTGTTTTGGATTTTCATCTTCATATATAGTTGCTATTAATACGAATATATGAGCTATACGTGGATGATTTTCATAATCATTACCAAGAATATGTTTTAAATGTAAAAGTTTTTCTTGACATAATTCCATTGCTTTATTTGATTGATCGGTTTTTTTTAATAGATTTACTATTAAATCAAAATGTATTATAAGATTTTTATGATTTAATGGTAAACAATGTTCTTCAATTTGTAATTGTTGAAAAAAATTATTTAATGCTAAATCTAATTTATTCATTTTTTCATAGATATTTCCAATATCACCATAACATATAGCAGTATCAGGATAATTTATATTATGCAAACAATGTTGACGTATTTCAAGTGTACGATTAAAATAATTCAAAGCATTTTGCCAATCTTGTTTATCTCGATAAATCAAGCCAATATTTCGAATTGTAATTGCTTTATCTAAAGAATCATTTGAATTATTATTTTCTTGAATAGATAAAGCTTGTTGATAATAATTAAGCGCTTGATTAAGATCATTTTTATCATGATAAATTTCTCCAATATTATTCAATGAATTTGCAAGTAATAAATGATCTTTTGAAAGAATATCATGTCGTATATCATAAGCTAAATTAAGATAAGTAAGTGCAGTATCATAATCATTTTTATCTTTATATGCTAAACCTAAATTCGATATTGTATTAGCTCGATAAAATTGATTTTTATTTTTTGAACATTTTGTTTCATAAATATATAATGATTGTCCATAGAATTCAATAGCTCGATCATAATTACCCATATGTTTATAAACAATTCCAATATTATTTAATAATAAAGCAATACGTGTATGATCAATAGTTAATTGTTTTTGACATATTTTTAAAGCATGTTGATATTTATTTAATGCTAAACTATATTCTTTTAATTCATCATAAATATTTCCTAATTCAAAATAAATTTCTGACATATGAATATATTCATTTGAGAATGATTTTGATAAAATTTGAAAATAAGTTTTTCCTTGATTTATTTCTTTAAGATTATTCCATAGTAAATGTCCAAAATAAATTATTGAATTTTGATAATTCATTTCATTTTCAATCCATTTAAAATATTCATTAATATGTTTTGTTCCATCATGATTTGTTATTAATTTGATTTCCCATAGATTATTTATTGTATTATATTCTATAGAGTCAATTTTAAATATTGAATTTATATTTAATAAAATATTTTGTTCACCATTCAATGATGATGATAGATCAGCTAAAAGATTTGTTTGAATAGAAAAATCAATATGAATTTCGAAAAGAATATTTTCTTTTGTTGTAAAATGTTGTTGAAAAAAAGCTAATGAATAATTTTTATTACGTGTTGTTAATATAAAATTATTTATTGAAATAAAACAACCAATATTTTTTTTTAATTCTTCAATTTCATCATTTGACATAAATTGTGCTCGATAAACAATTAAATATTTTTCGTTTTTTATTATTTCACATTCTTTTTCAATTTCTAAACATATATCAATAAGAAAATATTGAAATGAATATAAATATTCAATATCATGAATATATAATGCACGATTTAAAAATCGATATAAAAAACATTCTTTTGTATACCATTGTATAGCTTGTTGTGCTGTATAACTTTGACGAAATGATATAATTGTATCTAATTCATAATTATTCATTCGATAATATTGTAAACATTTATTTAATATTTCATCACGTTTATATTCATTATGTGGAATTTGTTTAAGAATATTTATTAACATTTGATACCAACGAAATAAAGCTGATTCGTGTGTTAAATTTTGTATTTTAGGATTAAATAAACTATAAATAAATATTTGTTTTTCAATTAATAAAATATTTTCTTTAATTGAATTGAATAGATCATTTTGATTCGTATATATATCAATTATTTTTGGATATTTTAATTTGAATTCTAATTCATTTATTATCTGTTTATCATCATAAATAAATATTGCAAGAATTGATTGTAAAGAATAAATTGAATTGAATATATCGGTTAATAATATATTTGAAATAATTAAAAATATTTCTTCATTGGAATTTAATTGAAGAAAATCAATACATAATTGAATATCTGTATAAAACTGTATAGCTGGATTGATTTCAAATAATTTTGTTTGTATTTCAATACTGGGTTCAAATTTATCCAAATAAATTAATCGAATATTTTCTCTATTTACTGTTATTTCATTTAAATAACGATTGATATTTTTAGCCATAGTTGTAAAAGATATTTTAAAAATTTAACAGAGCATGAGTATAATTATAGTATATAATAATGCCACTTTTTTTTCAGAAAGAAAATTCTCTTTTTTTTATTACGAAGGTCACGCACAGGAGATAAAAAGAGGAAGGGAGAGAAAGAGAAGACGACGTTGTTTTCTTATGTCAATCTAGCAAATATTCATCTATGGAATCAAAGATTAGATTAAAATAATCTACTTTAAGAAATGAATACGACTCAATAAAAATTATTTTAGTTGAATATGTTTTTTGAGGACAAAAAAAAAAGATCTATTTTTTTTTATAGAATCACTGCATTAGCATTGAATCAATAATTATATATGTATACACATCTCATATTATAATAATGTATACAGGAAGTCATTTTATTTTTTCGAAGTGAAAATGATCTGAAAAACATAATTATATTTCAACAAAGATGATATATTAGTCGGCAAGACAAAATTTATCTTTCATAGATTTTTATTTCAGTTTTTCTTACAATAAAAAAATTGTAATATATCATGTAAAGATATTATTCTAATTATAGAAAAAGCATAGACCTGAATTCCGACTTATAAATAACACAGAAATATATGATCTCGGTCAGATTTAAAAATTATTTTTATATATTTGATTGAGTAAGATGATGTTATTTTTAAGAAAATACATAATGTTTACAAATATTGACATATGTTTTTATTTACATATAAGATTTATTAAAAACGATTTCAACTGTTACCAAAATGCTTCGATTTCAGATAATTTTTTACCTTTTGTCTCAGGCATCTAAAGTAAAAATCAATTCGACTACATATATATAAATCAATAGTATATAATATATACTTACTTTATAATATAAGAGAACGAACGCTGATGAACAACAAACACAAAAGATAAGAAAAACATAACCATTAATTATTGATCGGAATACTGGAAATAATATGGTTACCACTATATAAATAGAAAAAATTATTTTTTTGTTTTAATTGATAAGAAAATATTTACATGTATTACAAAACCAACTAGCAAATACTGAAATTGAAAGAGCAGTTGGTCGCACATCAATTGTAAATACTTCATTTGGATATACGTAAGGAATTGGTCCAAGTCCAACAGCAAACATAGCAATAAACATCAACGTTAGTATTAATACAATAATTGCTGAAATAGTTTATTTCTAAATGATTTATTATGAATATAGAAGGAAAAAAAAGAACATACGTATATGAATTTGAATAAAAACACAAAGTAAAATCATGATAAATGTAATTATACCAAGTGGATAAAGAATTAATGGACGACGACCAAATAATTCAACAAATTTTTCTGATACTATCGTTGCTACTAAATTAATGAGACCAGTTGATATTATACCCCAATAAACTTTATCTTCTACAAAACCAATCAATGAAAATGTTTCACTTGAATAGAAAAATACCTGTAATTTAAATTTTATTAGAATGTATATGAATTTATCTTTTCTTACTGAATTAATTCCACACAACTGTTGAATAGCATTCAATGCTATACTAGTCAATAATGGCCAACGAAAACGTGTAGTAGTAAACATACTACAAATCGATACATGCTGTGTTACAGCAGTTGCTTCTTGTCGTACGATTTCATCAAGTTCTGCTTCGATATAATTACTTTGTCGAAGAATACGAAGTGATTCAGCTGCTCTATTTCTTTCATGTTCTTGTACAAGCCATCGTGGACTTTCAGGTAATGTCCAAATAAGAAAACAACCTGCTAATGAAAATAGACCAGCCCAAGACATACCCCAATTCCATTTACTATGAATTATGTAGGAATAACAACTATATACACATTCGATGATAAATAATCACTCACTCATGTTGACCAAGCAACCATGGAACACCAATTATTTGGCCCACAAGTACTCCAATGACAATAAACAATTGATGAAATGTAACAACTTTACCACGCATAATTCGTGGACTAATATCTGCTAAATAGATTGATGAGACAACGCAACACATCCCTAAAGTAAATATACACTGATATTACATTTTGTAATTCGTTTATATTTAACGTGTTCTTTTTTTTTTGTTCAAATAGTTCTTTATCTTACCAGCAGACCATCCAGATAAAAAACGTGATATATAAAGAAGTGCAATAGCAATATCTTTATTTTCGAGAACTTGATTGATTGTGTTTCGATCAGGATCACCTCGTGTATATCCATGATAAATTAACAATGGAATAATCATTAGAATCGATCCTAACAATTGAAATATCATACTAACAAAAATAGCATTTCGTCTATTAATAAAAAAAAATAAATAAATGAAGAACATATTTTTAATTATATATACCGTGTTAGATATGAATACCAATATTGTCCAGTCAACCCACCGATTGCACCACCAATAACAAAACAAATAGTATGAGCTGCATCGATAACATGTTGCGATATTTGTCTATTTGCAGGTACTGGTGGTAAATAATAATAACCTGTTATATTCCACAGAGAAACATCTGTATAATCACAATCCCACCATACACGTGCTACCCATTGTGCTACATCTTCATCTTTTTGACATGGAAATGGATATCCTCTTGCCCATGGAACAATAAACTAAATAGATTGTATTGTTGAAGAATAAATAAATATATATAAAACTTACTAAATTGTATATATTCGGTCCGCCAATATTAACACCCATGACAAAACTTGTTGAAAATGTTACAACTAGAACAGCCCAAATCAATGACGATGTCCATCCCTTTAATAAAAAAATATTAATTACAATAATTATTATTTATATTGACAATAGTTTGAATCTTACTTGATGATTATTGACATATTGAAAAGTTGTAGGAGCAACAACAGCAGAATGCATTGTTGATATTCGTATAGTAGTAGTAGGAATACTATTACTTAATCGATTCGATGTTTTTGACATGAATTTTACAGTCTTAACAAATAAAACAAACAACTTTAATCCTAATATACTCGTATCTACTGAGTAAAAGAAATCACTTTGTTTTTAAGTAGAAATTTCCTGATGAACTACAGAAAGCTACTTATGAAGATAAACAAATAAATGACTATCTTAAAAAAGAACAAATCCGGTAAAAACTATATCGCAATTTAGATGAGTTCTTATTTTTTCTCATACTCTAAAAAGATTTCTGTTCTCGCTAAATTAAATACAAGACAATTGTAATCAGTGACCGAATAGATTTTAAAAATAGAATAATAATGAAGTAAAAGAGAAAAAAAGAAGAAGAAGAACAATGAACGTCTTTTGTCACACTTCTTATTAAAATAGTTAGTTGTTTTTATTTATTCAATTATAATAATAATATCTCATATAGACCTATTATATTTCCTCATTCTTTTTAGTAGTTTTATCCAGTAAGATAAAATTGATAAATAAATTTTAGTTTGAAGTGAATAAATATTGCGCAATTAAATATAAAAGTAGAAATATTTATAAATAGTCTAATGTATTTTTGTCTTGTGAAACAAGGAAAATAAAATTTAATTGAATAAGATGAAATGTTATTCATCATTAAATTATTAATACACAGCTAATATTTTTTTGTAATTAGATATTCTTTTCTGCAAATAATCTGAATACATGTTATCAAACAATCAATATTAGGATTTTAAATTAGACAATTATCTAATACGGTATAATATTGAGTTAGATAAGCCTGTCTTATTAAACACTCATTGAATACTTACAATAAGTAAATCATTAGTAAAGTAATTATGAATTTGCTTTGATATTTGAAGATATGATTCATATTTTTTAAAGCATGTATTACGAAAAATACTGTTTATCTATTACTTACTTTATTTTTAATCAGTAGTCTATCATCTCTGAGATTCTATTATTTATTTGCTTCTATCTGTGTGAAAAATCAAGAAATAATATGAAGAGTACAAAGTAGTCTGAGTCAACACGAGTGATTAACGTTGCAGAGAAAAAAGTCCTTTTATTTAATGAAAAAAAAAGAATGAAGACCGACGAAGATAAAGTCAATGAATCAATATTTATTTTGAAAAAATATATTGCTCGATTAAAACTAGACAATTATATACGAATAATATATCAAACAAAATTATCCGGATATTCATTTCTAAGTTCAATATTAGGAATAAATGTTCCCTTTATCATATCTATACGTTCAAATTGTTTACCAATTTCATCTGCTGAACATAATTTTTGTACAATTAAATTCTTTTGTTCTTCATTCTCTATGGAAGCAAATGCTAATGTATCGATATTATCTTCAGCTACATATCGTTGAGAAAAATCATCTGCTAAAATATGATAAAATGGTTGTGTTGCTCCACGTGTTAAATTTGATATACCCATATTGGTTTGCCATAATGATGAAGCCATACATGTTAAATCCCATCCACAAATAACACCCCAATAATTATATAATAAATGTTGAAAAATTTGCCCAATATAAAATTTTGGACAAGATTCATTATTTCGTCGTTTTTCTTCGATTGGTAAAGGATTTAAATCTTGATCTTGTATTTGTTGAAGACTTTCATTCATGATTGTTAGGTTAGAGTAAAGTCTTTGAAAAAAATGTAAATCCATAGGAAAATGTTCTTTTAAAACATTCAGCATCGAATTAGAAGTAAATGGCAGTGGACCATCTCCTAAAATTTTAAGTACTGCTAAGGCAGCATATAAGCCATATGAATTTAATAATGATGTTGAGCCTTGTGTAATACTATTAACCATATTTCGAGCAGATCGAATAACAAATTCAGTAATTGGTGTGATAGGTAATGGATGAGTTAAAGGTCTATCAAGAATATTAACTAAGCGATCATTCATTTCATCCAGAGATAGAATTTTACCTATAACATATAAATAAAAAACAAAAGATTCTATTTAATTAATTTACTATCAAAAACGCTAATTATCAATGGTGATAAATTTTCAGAAGTATTTTGTGAAATTGATGATTGATCTACTTGTGCCATAACTTCACCGGGAAAACTAAGTGGTCGAGCTATTAAACCACATTCTTCAGCCAATGCACAAAAGATTGAAACAAGTGTTAAAGGAATTGTTGGTTTACCGTTGAATGTTGAGAAAAGAAAAGAATTTTCTAAATTATAATATCCTTCACCGTTATTTGCAGCACAAAAATTTTCAGCTTTCATTGTTGATAAAATTAATTGACATTTTTCATTTACAGTAAGACTTGGAAATGCAGGATCATCAACAAGACGTTTACCAATTGAATGAAGACGTTTTAATGAAAGAAAAATACCATATGGATGAAAACATTGAACAACAAATAAACCATTAATTAATGCTTTTCCTTCTGTATGCATATCTGTTCGATTCGCCATCTCATCAAGAAGCTGTAATCCGATTTCTCGAGATATCAGTCGAGTTAACTCCAATGAATAATATTCTCGAGTTAGATTACGTGAATCAAGTGATAATGATGTTGATGTATTTCTAAATGATGGAAGATAACGTTTGAGAATATCTATAGCTAGAAGACCATATGTTGAAACGATAAGTTTAGCATTATGAATTCCTAAATAATTTCAAGAATTGATTAAATATATATTTTATAAGAGATTCCTTTATCAGTCAATTAACGTCTTAATATTTTGATAGATAATATATAAATACTGATTAATAATTTATATATAACCTACGATTTTTTCGTTTTGACATGATTTCATTTAGAAGCGATCGGATGTGTTGATCTTGAAATGATCTTTGTATAAAATACTCTTGCCATGTACAATCATTAGGAGGTTTAGTTAATTTCAGAACAGAATCAGATAGATATTCTTCATTAGAATATTGTGGTTTACAAACTGTATATGTATACCTGAAAGAGAAAATTTTACAACTTAACTATAGATTTATGGAATAAATAAACATTTGAAACGATATGTTATTCTGATACAAATATTTAATGGTATATGACTATAAATTCAAACGATTATTGTCAGTTTATTCTCATATACTCATCAATTAGATAACAGTCTTATACCTTGTTAAAAAATATTGCTGCCATATTTTATCATCACGAGTAACTCTGTTCATTTGATGACTTGTTTGTGCTAGAGCAGATGTTTCTTCTGGAGAGAGATAAGTAAGAATATATCGAAATAATTCTGGTGGAAGATTTTCAAGTGTTAAAGACATTGCGAATATATATATATATTGCCGAACGAATTCACATATAATGTATGACAGTAAAAAGTAAAGTCAGTTAGTATAATATAAAACAAGAATTTAATATTCAACCATATCTATTCATTTTTCTTTCATATTTACTTTTATAAATTCTTTTCTTTAGCAACTCTACCGATTCTTTTCTCTTTTTTTTATAATACAGCTGATCCGACAGCCATAGCCATAATATATAGACCTCCATACGATTTAAAAATTTTCAAAAATTCTACAAATACGGGAAAATTTTCTCTTCAACAAATTTACTAAGTTTATATGAATATTTTCTACAATTTTTTTTTCAAATTTTCTGTAATGGAATTCTTTAGGTAAACAATGGATTATCAAACGTGAATTTCAAATTAGGATGTGAGTGTCGATAATGTACTTATCTCCGACCCACACTCCCTTATCTTCATATAGATTTTATTTTCTTATAACAATCGACAAGATAGTTTTCTCTTATTTTATTCACTTTTTATTCAAAAAAAAATTGTCCTGGATAAGATATTTTTGCACAAGGAAAATATGCTTGTAAAGAAGAATTTTGACAAATTCTTTCACCACGTAATTTTAGTTTATTTATCTTCATACAGTTAATTCGTGTATCTTCTCTTGTAAAATTGTGTGTTACTCGTTGTAAAGATTCATATTCGATATGTAGAAAAACATTATTTTGTAAATGTGTTATAGTATTAAGTAGAAATTGTTCGATATAATCATCATGAACCGTATTAATAGCAAGTTCATTAAGAAGAGAATATTCGATAAGAGGTAAATTTCGATTATCGTTGTCTGATTCATAAGATTGTTTTTTGTTTTGTGATTTACAATTAACCACAGATAATTCTTCCATCAATGGAAATGATCTTTGAATTTGAAGAAAAAATTCATGTTCAAAAGGATGCTCATCAAATAAAGATACCACACGAACATATTTGAAAAATCCACCTGGAAACGAATTTGTAATATCCTCGTAATGTGGTGTCAAAGATGGATAGGAGTAAATTTGACATTGACTTCTTTTTGCTTCTGGAAAATAATCAACATAAGAAATAATATTATTAATTGGAAAATCAATAAATGTACGTTGAATATCTTTTGTTGATGAAAAATGCGATTGATCATGAATAAACATACATGAACAAATATGAAATTTAAAGTCATTTAATCGTAACAGACGATTAATAATATTTCTCTTCAAATGATTTCCATCGATAAATCCATCATTATATCTAGTATCAATACTAATTGTAATATATAAACCAAGTTGTTCTAGATTTGACATTCGATATAGAAGTGGTAGAATCAATTCATCATACGAGCTTATTTCTTTACACGATAAAGCAAAATATTTCAAGTTTGGTAAATCGCCCTAAAAAATAAAATTTATTTTATCATATGATAATATAGAGATTATTCTTGTAAAACTAACGTGATTTTTAATTTCTTGTGGATGATGAAGATTAACTAAATCAACACAGAATGTATGAAGTTGATTAAATCGACCATCGAGAAGATTAAGACAATCGTCAAAACATTGTACTCTAATATTTAATTTCAAAAGAGTCGATGAACGAAAAGTAGGAGGAAATCCATTATCAGACATTAATGGGGCACGGTTTTTATATGATGATTCATATAATGTTAAATAAATTAAATTAGTGAAAACAGTCAATATGTAATTAACTATATTTGCTGCTGATAATAGCATGTCTTCATAACACTCATGATTATTATTATCAATTGTAATAGCAAGTGTTGTAATTTGATTTTTGAAAGTAGCAGATGTAAGAGTTTCATCTAAACATATACATACAATATTAATAAGAAAAAAAGAATCTATGAAAGTATTATTAATATATATTCATTCAATGATTTAATTATTTGTAAAAAAAAATATCTTACCAGTAAAAAGACATCGAAATGACTCTTCATTAATATTATAAAGACCAAGACCATATAAATTAGGATAATCAGTAACACACAAAACATTTTTCATGGATGATGATTCAAGATCAAGCCATTTTATTTTATCATGAATTACAGGTAAAATTTGTAAACAAAATCGATTGAGCATCGTATTACAACAAAATACATCAATAAAATTACCAGAACACATTTTGACAAAAGTCAAACGATTTGTAAAAACTGAATCTTGAACAATTTTATTTAATCTTTGATTGACACCTTGTAAAGAATAAAGTACTTCAAAATTGTTCAATTTTTTAAAAATAATCATAAGAATTTCATCAGGTAAATCGTTAAAGTCAACGCATGAATATTCCATGTTTTTGTTCATTTATTTACTCTCTCCAACTTCTGATCGTCAATATCTATATGCATACAAACATTTGTTCTATTTGACCGATGACGTCAATATAGACAATAACACATTTTTCTATATCGTCCTATACAGACTGAAAAAAAATAAAATGAATTGAACGACGTGATCGGTTTATTTCGGCTCG